GCCACTCACTTGAAAACTCATCAGGAAGTGTTTCACCATCCTGCGGGAATCCCACCACCCAAAACTGCGGTAACCGCGGTCCGGATTGGCGCGGAGCATGGGGATGAGTCCATTGCCTCAGCTGCTGAAATCCCAGCTCTTGCTGCGTGACGTGTCCATTTTTGTACCTGTGGAACTTATCATTTTTATAACCAAAAAAGAGATTTAAAAATGATTTATGGCCATTTCTTCTGGGCAATTGCAATTCTATCATGTTTGTGATTTACATCCTAAATCATCATGTTTGAACCCCTTGGACTCTCTGAGTGGATATAGTTCCCAGAACATTTCTCATTGAGATAAAATCTTGCGTTTTTTTCTGGACTAGCCCGTATTGATTTCTAAAAATAAAAGCAAATCAAAACAAAAAACTGGTCCATGTTCAACCCAAAAACAAGGATTTGTTTTTCTTTATTTCCTATGTACTTTCGGTATTTCGTAAAGAAATAAAATGTCCACAACGATCCAGTACATAGATCAGGAATTGTCATGTCCAACTCCAACTAACAAATTGCCAGCCAATAATATGTTCAATTGTTCATATGATATTCAATAGTATTCAATACACAGGGTGATGTTCAAAGTTCCTGGCAAATTGTTTTCCGTCAAAAAAATAAGAAGTTCATTGAATCACAACTTCAATTCATTCCCACATCCATAAATACTCAACGCATGACCTTCCAGCAAAACTTATAGAAGACCCTCCGAAATGGTAACAGCACACAAGTCCTGCAAAAATCACTCTCTATGAGATTAATCTTCTGTAGATTCCCACCAGAAAGGTTCGCAGCGTATCGGTCGTATCCCCATGATATGCCCAGTTCGCATCGCCCCAGTCGCTTGATATCAGGTCAAGAAACCATCTAGAAACCATGAAATCTTGCATCAGCCATCAGTAAGCCATCAAACCATCCAACAAGCAGAATCCCATCCCCCCCATATTTTTCATAGCACCCATTGGGTGCCTCCCAAAATGAATAGATCCACAGAGAAGGGATGATTCACCCCAGTTACTAAGTAGGTTGACCAGTTCTAGGTGGGACTTACAGGGGGTGAAGTAACCCACTTAGGATTCCTTGGATGCACCACCAAGTACCATCCTACGCTTTGGGAAAAACAGAGCGAACTGGAAAATCACCATGTCTTATGTCGGGAATATAGATAAATCATGGATAAATCATGGATAAATCATCTATTTTGGCATAATTGTCCATCATCTTCCATGGCTATGTCAAACTATCAACACGGGTAATATGGTCAGTTGCCTATCGCCCTAAGCTCTGCAACCCATCTGGGCGCATGTGACCCACAGCACAACCAAGCTCCAGGAGGACTGTCCTGGGTGCTGAGGTGGAAAAAATATGGGTGTAACCATGGTGAGTTAACCCCCATCAAGTTGGGACATGGGCCCCGGGCCCCGCACAACTAAGGTTATAATATACATATTATATACATATATATATATATCATATATATATATATCATATATATATCATATATATATCATATATATATATATATCATATATATATATATATCCACCACCGGAACTGCACTTAAAGTTACCATGGAACCCCAGAATGACAAATCTTCCAAAGGAATATACGTTTCCGGCGTTTCCGGTATGTCCAAAACCCCCCACTTGCGGTGCTGCTCCTATTTTGTTGGGGGTTACTTGTGGAGGATAATGTGTTCCCCATTTTCAATCGCACTCGATGTTAGATTGCTTATATATATATATATATATCCCATTCTTACCCGTTATATCCCATTATCTCACCGTCAGACGGTCAGTTTCATAATTTTATACCTTGCTTTGTCAAGGATAAATCCCCAGTAGCTGACAGATCGATTTTCCTCCCCAGAATTTTAGGTTGTGTAGCCATGCACAACCAGTGGTGCCGCAGTTCTTTGTTTCACAAACGGTATGAATGGTGGATATATCCAACTAGTTACCCGGCCTGGTAAACGTTTACAAAACACTATTGAAAATCACCACTTTTAATAGGTAAATCAACTATTTCTATGGTGGTGGTTATAAACCAAATTATTACCCTTCCGGAGGCCAACTGGGATACACCTCCAAGTGGGGATTCATTGGGTACACTTTGATCATTTAACATCCCCAAATCCCCCCAAATCCCTGGTCAGCAAGTCTCCTTTTTTCGTGGCTTATCCCATCTTTCTTTCTTGGTGAACAAAAACAGAGGTTATGAAAACCACAAAAACGAGCTGGGAATTAGTATCCCAAAATATTATCCCAACGATATCCCCATATTATGGATCTGTCTGAAAATGGTGTATACCCCACTTCATGGCTATTTTGATCGGGATTTTTTGTCGGTTTTAATCCCATGGATTTGGGGCAAATCCTATTGTTGTTGCTTAAACCTCCACAACCCCACTTAGATGACAGACCAAAAGGGTAAAAATGAACTGCCGAGCATCTTTGTCTCAACCACCTCCATTGGTAGCTCTGTCAAGCCGGTCGCCACCTCAAGGTTTCTCGGCACATCCAAAGGATGAGAAAGGTGCGTGGATTGGATTTAAGTGAATATATAATGTTATATATATAATATATATAATATATATATATAATATATATAATATATATATAATATATATATACTGGGATTTCGGATGGTTTTTGTCATGGGATCTATCCCCCAAACAGTGCGGTAATGGTTAAGGCCTGGTGTTGGTTCAAGGTGGTTCCACTGCGCATGTCGAGACCAGTGAACATGGGAGTGCAAGGGCCTACAGCACTTGAAGAATTTGATTATGCCACTTGGTGCCACTCAAAGAATTTGATCAAGCGGCAAATCAAAATAGCGCACCTCCACCCCAATGGTTTTTCCTCGCCCTGCGAAAATTGACCTGGATATCTGAAATGAGAGTAAGTTCCAAAGTGAAAATCATCCATGTGATAGGGCATGGGGAACCTTCCACCTTCCCACTCACTTCAGAAGCCAGAAAGAATGGATGAATTGCAGACAATGTCATCAGAGTTCTCAATCACCTTTCAAGGCAAAAAGAAAATTGCAGGGCCCTTAACAGTTCCAAATGGGATTATCACTCCTGCAAGTGGTTGGTTATATAAATGATGTTTTCTGAGCCAGTCATACTTTTAAGGGCTTTTTCATGAGGTGTCACCAATTCATCATAGACACAACGATGGATTCAGGATCCAGATTCCATCTCCCATTGTTTGGTTCAAGTTCAATGCCCCAGAAATTGGCCATTTACTAAATTCCCATCTTTGCTGCTTCAGAAACTCGATACAGTATACCCTCTGGCTATTTCACATTGCCAATGTTACCTATAGATCCTATAGAAATAGATGATTGAGGATGATTTACCTATGATTTACCTATCATTTCATCCTGATTTTCCAAGCAAACCGTTCAAAGAAAAACTGCTTCCCCCGGACCGCTGGAGCACACTGGAGCACACTGGAGCTCACAGGCGTCCCAACGGTTGGTAGTTCATCCATCCATCCTGTGGGAGGCATGGAGGTGTCCTAAGTCATAGGGGTACCCCAAATGTTATCATCCATTTATAGATGGGAATTTCCATTTATATCATGAAAACATATCCATTTTGGGGTAATTACCATTTATATCCATTTATGGAAACCTCCTTCTTTTTTCTGTAAATATGAAGTTAATAATCCATGAATAGTTCTTTGGAGGTTTTTTGGGGGTACCCTTAATTTGATGGTTCTTCGTTTGACCGAAATCACCAAGGCTCCAAATTGCATCAATTCCTTCTGCGATGCCATTTTTTTTTGCCAATATCAAGAATTGTTCATAGTAAACCATACATATTCCATCAATATTCCATGATATTCCAGGAAAATTCCATGAAATATTCCATGATATTCCAGGAATATTCCATGAAACATTCTATGAAATATCCCTGTGATTAGTCATATCATACACCCACTTGGTGACCACCAAGACACGTTTCGGATCCGCGAGCACATCCGGTGGCATCAACTCGCCGAACTCCTTCAAAAACATGGTTCATTCGCATTGCCAAAGTCAAGTTTGCCGGGATTTCTGTGGTGATTTCCATAGTAAAACTATGAAATATTTGAAAAAATCAGATAATAAAACTATTATAGTTACGTCACTAATCCTAATAATGTCACTATGTGGTGATTTTCCATAATAAAACTATTTACGTGACGTAACTCTGAAAAAAAACCATTAAATATGTGGAGAGCGGATAGTCCATCATTTCACCCATAATTTCACCTGCAAAATGAATCGATGCGGCAACAGTTCCACAATTCAAGAGGATTCATCCATCATGCCATGGCCTCACCTTCAAAACATGGCTGTGGAAATCGCAACTTGGAAAGAACCACTGGTTGATGCGGAAAGGACTTCCTCTTGACCACCACAGTCGGAAACTCATCTGCTCATTCTTAGTCCCTTCCCCTTGAAATCGCCATTTTGGAAGAAAACATCACAAACTCAGGCATTATATTCCCATATTATATTCCCATTCTGCTGGGTGTATATGGGTGTATAGCCATGTATAGCCACCAGGGGGCCCTTGTTGGGTCCATGCAGGGGACCTCGCGAAGGTAGTGACGATCTTTGAAAAAGTTGATCGTCCGCTCGCGGTAGAACCTCCAGTTCGGGCGGAGGATGTCATGGAAATTGCCATCAACTTGACATCAACTAGACTTTGAACCTTCCTATCCTATCAAAAAGAGCATGTATGCCATGTATGCCATGTATGCCATGTATGCCATGTATGCCATGTATGCCATGTATGCCATGAGTCTGCCGTTGCAGTTGGACTCCCAATACTTGGGAACTTGCGATGCAAGGTCGAGTCAACGGTATTTGCAAACAACGAATTGTGACTGGCAACTGTCCACGATGAAAACGATGGGGTCCCCAGATGCGAATGGTTTCTCGTAGCTTGAAGGCTTTTCTCTCTGTCCATTTCATAATCACACTAGAAAGCATCTTTCACAAGTGGACCCCACTATATCCCAAACTCATGCTTCAACAAGCATCCTTACCCATTGGTCATTTATCATGGCAATCGAAAATCCCAATCATGGAAAAACACAGGAAAATCATCTATTTGATGCATGATTCTCCAGTCAGGCTAAACATTCCTGGAAGGTTTCTATCAATTCCACTCTAGTTGGTTAGTTACTGGTTATATGATTTATATTCCATGAGATCCCCATCAAAATATCCCAGAAACTACCATTTTTCATGGGAGATTCCTCTGGAAGACACCAAAATTGGTCCCAGATCTCAGCTCCCTCAGCTCCCTCAGCTCCCCAGCTGGTCCCAGTAGGCCCGAGCTTCATCGCAATAGCGCCGTTGCCAATCCTGGCCACGGACGTCGCTTTGATCCCTGAGAATATCCCATCAAAAATGGCCCAAAACTTCGATGAGTTGCCAAATTTAGGCGATCTTCCATGGAAGTTCCATCGCTGTGGTGAATTACCAGAGGGTATCCCAATATTGGGTATGGGTCAATACCTATAGATACCATTTTTAGGGGATGAACATCCATTTACCAGCTATTTTGATGTTCACCAGGGGTACAAGGTTTTGACACACTGCCAATATTTTTACAGTATTGTAAGATTGTATTATTGGATGATACAGTATTGCGCGGGTCTCCACTATTGTGCAAAGGACATCATCCAGCTGATAGTGTCGTAGCTCTGCCCATCCCCAGCCCAAAGTCGCGGCCCAAAAGAGCGAAGTGGTGGAAATAACTAGGTCAACAGTCCCTGGTTGGTGGTCTCAACCAACCCCTCTGAAAAATGATGGAGTGAAAGTCAGTTGGGATGATTATTCCATTCCCAACTGTTTATGGAAAGTCATAAAATTCCATGGTTCCAGTCACCACCAACCAGTGATTATTAACCATTATTAACCATCATTAACCATCATTATCCCATACTAAACCAATGTTCCAGTCACCACCAACCCAGGTCTGGATTGAGTTCAGATTCCAAATCCCAGCGATCCCAGCTCAATTATTGCTATCACGTCATCGATTTCTGTTGAAAAAATCCCCCCCCATAGCAGGAACCAACAAACATACCAAGAAAGAGCACCACCTGGATTCTCATCGTTAACAAACTCTTCCTATACAAAAAATATCACAAAATATCCCCATGAAATATCATGAAAAATGATATGCAGCATGCTTAATTTCGAATTCCCTCCACAAAATATCATGAAAATCATCGAAAATGCCTGATTTCCCCCAAGGTTTCCATGGGATCCTCCGACTTCGACATGCCTCCGGCACGGGCGTCTCGTGTTCGCGCCGCATCAGACGCTCCACCGCTTCCTGGTCGCCCGCCTGGAGCGGAAAATCTGGGGAAATGAGGAGATTTTCCATGGCTTAGATGGATATTTAAGGTGATAAACCATGATAAACCATAGGATTTTGACGTGTGAAGTTACAGTACCTACTGGGAAACTTTTCAATATAATCATCGGTGAATGGGGGATCGCCTAGTGCCTAGTAGCTTGTGATACACCCAGGGATGGCAACACGTGAACATCTAAGCAACAACCCTGGCAGGGTGAGGATGTAATGGAATCCCCAGGGACTTGGGCAGCCCAGTGGCTCCTCCAATCATCAGTCCAACGATGGTTACTTACAGTAGCCAGCAAAAAGCTTGAAGGCTTCAGGGAAAGGTTCAATTTATCACTGATTTCAGATTGGATTTCACTTTGCTCTTGGAGGTTTCAAACGGTTTCTATACATTCTAACCTTTGTAATTTTATAATTACATTGATTTCTCTGCCATGGGATGTACAAGGTGGGCCCCCCGGTTGGAAGTTGGTTTGTAAACCCGATTAACTGATATATCTACCATAAACCATAAGCTAGGCAAACAAACCAACTTGCCTATCGTTGAGGGGGCATTGGGTCAATCCCACGGTACTGACCATCAACCAACCATCGAAAGTTGTCATTTTGAAGCAAAGATGTCGAATTTCGAGTGGTCAATACCCTCATTGTCGATTTTTTGTCTTACTTCTTCTTGTTGTTAAGATGTTAAGACCATCAGCCAATGATGTGTTTTTCTGTAGTATTCGTTCTAGTTTATCCCAGAAAATATCCCCATAAAATTTTCCCATGCTGTTCCCCATGAAATATCCCCATAAATTGAGCTTTCCCCACGCTTTTCCCAGAGCCATCCGCCTGCAGAGCTCTCAAGGCTTCCTCCAACTCCACCTTGGGTGACTTGGTCGGATCTCGACCTCAGGAAACTGGGGGATCCCGGTCAACCAGAGGAGAGATGTCAACAAATGTCCCAAGACAAGTCTAAAATGATGTAATGATTGTGATTTTTCCGGCGAAATCCTGCATAAACGTCACCTTTTGGGGTTAAGCACTCTTTATGAGGCGTCTTTGACCAGTTTGTAACCACCAAAAAACATCAAAAAGTGATGTTCAACTCCGAAAATAGAGACGTTTTAGGCGGACCCCACGTTCACCTACCAACATCACCTCGTTCACCCCGATTCCTCTCTACTTGGAAGATCCCCCAATGACATGTGAGATGAGACCCCCAGAAGACGATCACCGATCACCAGAGTGGAGTGCGAAATCCTACACCAGCTAGGTGGTAAATATCCGTTTTACCCCATTATTTATAGCTGGTTGGTGGTATACCTACCCCTCTGAAAAATGATGGAGTTCGTCAGTTGGGATTATGAAATTCCCAACTGAATGGAAAGTCATAAAATTCCATGGTTCCAAACATGTCCAAAGCACCAACCAGATAGGGTTTCAACCTTCCAAGGTGGTTTATCGGATTTCGCATCCAACAGAGACCACCATGCGCCCTGGGAAACCCAGACGCTTCTTGACCATCTCAGCATGGAGGTGTGTCCTGGGAGCCCTGCAGGGGTCACCGGTTGTTTCAACATCAAATTGATGACTTTGGGGTGTTTCCAGGGGACGTTTGCAACTGGCATATAACTCAGGGTGGTTATATAAGAGCAATGGAGAATGGTAGCCAATAATACCCATGGGTTCATCATCTCCATTGAAATGGCTAAAAACTTACCCCCGATTTTCACACACACCCCATGGAAGACCCCAGGAATGGAAGATTTACTGACCAAAAGTACTATCAACCAACTATTGTGATGCGCATGTTGCAATTAGCAGATGAGCCGGTGAGGCATTGGAATTCCGAATTGCCAGTTTCTGTTGACAGTTTGATCATATCGGGTCTGAATAACGAAAAGGTAATTTTTGTATGTTCCCTTTTGCATCCTGTGCAGGACTTCGAATTTTGCCTGGAAACCCCGCTGCAAACATAGTTTTTGTGTGTCAAAACCTGTCTGGAATTCTGAAATCCGCAAAGTTCAAAGTGGGTCACCATCCTGAAAATTTTGGTACCTATGGTACCTCACACCAAAATAAACTACTGGTTGGTGGTATGCCTACCCCTCTGAAAAATATGAGTTCGTCAGTTGGGATTATAATTCCCAATATATGGAAAGTCATAATCCATTCATGTTCCAAACCACCGACCAGACTAATATAGTTGTGGATGTTCATCCCCTCCAAATTTAAAGTGAAGATCATCCCTGTTGGGCACCTCCATTTTTGGGCCACGGCACGGCCTAGAGGAAACTGCTGTCAGAATGACAATGACACCACGGTTTCGCAGGTAATTTACTGTTTCCTCGCAACAAATATAATTTTTGAGCCAGGAGTTTTGCTAAATTTTGCCTTCAACTGGTTTTGGGTGAAGAACCGTGTGAAGAAAAACTCTTTGTTTTGGACATCTCGGAAAATGTCATGGCCAGTGTATTGATGTCGTCCTGGTCGGAGGAAAAAAAACATAAATTGCATTTCAACATGTTTCAACCACCAATCTACCTTTTTGGTTGGTTCCGTGGGGGTTGTCTCAAATTTTGAATCTCCAAAATCCATCAAAATCCTATCATTTAACATATTTCCCCATGAAATCAAAATGGCATACTGAGCAACTGATGTTGAGGTATGCATCATTTTCATGCGCCAAAGAGTTGCCCAGCACTTCCACCTCCACGGTATGCCGCCAAAGGGTTTCGTAACTCCTAGCAGTGTAGGGGCAGTTGCCTCTGTGCCACCAGATGGTTTTTTTTTCTTTTGCGGCACCCTAAAATCATCCAAAATATGGGTCAAAACCCTGGTACCCTTCTGTTCACAGCAAAATGAACTAGTAGTTATGGATGTTCATCCCTTCCGAATTTATGGAAAATTATAGAATTCTAGGTTTAGATCACCCAAATCAATCATGTTTAGTTGGAACCCGATCTTCAGTGCCCCAATTTGGGGATCCATTTGACGTCAACTCATCAGGAACCACGCCCATCTGTTGATGTTTTGATTGGCTTTAGGCCACGGCCTCAGCATATCTGTGGGTCCCAAAAAGATAAGGAAACAAACATGGTGGGATTCCAACCAAAATGTAATTCCGCAATGTTGTTGGCCATGATGGTCTAATATCAAGAATCACCAAATGTGTATGTGTGTTTGTGTGTTCATGGGTACCGATGCGTGAACTGAACTTATCCTTCTGCCACCATAATAATTCCAATTTTTGGGGGTGCTGATTTTGGATCCACAACACAGAAACCACTATATCTTGCAGGTTTCCTCAATCAGCTAACCATGTTTGATTACCGCAAGGTAGCATCATCTGTTTCCAACATCGGCTGGAATGCGCGCTCATAGCTGAACCCCCACTGGGTCCTCATGGCTCATGACATACCACCAGTTGGGCAGTTCCAAGAATTCGTTTGACTCAATGAAGTGATGCATTCCATTAGTTGTCCAATTATTTTGTTGAATGATCTCAATGTTTGAAATTTCAACACCCCGGGGCTATCAAAATTTTTCCATAGAGCAATGCCATGTCGGGGAATACCCCATCTTGTGACAACCCCGTGCGATT